TTAGGTGATATGTGAAACAGGCCATCTGCCGGGCGATGCCCGTAACGTTGCGCCTGCACTTATCCCGCGGGGGCTCTCAAGAGCTGTTGTGGGATACGTTGGGTGCAGCGAGCGCATGGCACAGCCAACGGGGGTGATTTGTTATTACGTAGCCCTTCCGGCTGCTGCTCGCAAAATCACATTAGGCGGGGCGAACAGGGCCATCCAGAAGGTGGGCCGTCGAAAGGGTGCATGGAACGGCTTTCGGGGAGGCGTTCCAAGATTTCTGGAACGCCTTTCCGCCCAGCGTTCGGAACAGTTCGGTCGCCTCGGCCCACGGCCCGCTACCGCGTCGACATGGAGACACCTCGAAGCGGGATCAGGCCGCACGAGTGAAGCCAAATTGTCTGCGAGGGGCAGCCTTGGAATTGCTGTTCTGCCACCCTCTCTCCTTCTCGTCCTAGGTGTGCCCGTCGACCGCCGCGCCCTTTCTGTGGCGCCGAAGTGGCCACTTCGCCTGGTCTGCCCCGTGCACGCTCCCGTGCTGGCCCTCCCCCTGCCTCCGCCCACCGCGCAGCCCCTTGCCCCCTCCGCCGCCACCTCCCCTTTTCTCCCTTCACTCCCCTTTTCGCCCCGCGTCGTCGTCGTCGTCGTCGTCGTCGTCGTCGTCGCCCCGCGTCCCACACCAGTGTCGTTCAGCGCCTCACTGATGCTAGCCCGCTACTTACATCTGCCAACCGCGCCCATTTTCTCTCGCACTCTGCCTCCCTCATCCCTCCCCCCCCCCTCCCCCTCCCTTCCCCCAGCTCCCCTGTCCTATTTCGCCTTCCCCCGTCCCCTTCCCCTTCCCTCCCTCCATTTGCCCCTTTCTTCCAACCTCGTGCTCTCCCGCTCCCACCCCTCCCCATTCCCTCCGCCGCCAGCCCTTCCCGAACGCTGTTCCGGGAAGGCGCGCAGCCCTTCCCGAACGCTGTTCCGCGGAGGCCGAATGCAGGCCCCAAGTGGGCCATCCGTCCGGCTGATGCTCCGAGGCCCCAAGTGGGCCATCCACCCGGCTCCTGGAGGCCGCCCCCCCCGAGGCCCCAAGTGGGCCATCCATCCGGCTCATGCACGCCCCCGACCCTCGCACGCCCTGCGCGCAACCCCCTCGCCGCCCCCAGGCCCCAAGTGGGCCATCCACCCGGCTCATGGAACATCACGCCGGGGCACCCAGTACCCCTGCACTGGTCCAGGGCCCCAAGTGGGCCATCCGTCCGGCTGATGCTCCGAGGCCCCAAGTGGGCCATCCACCCGGCTCATGGAACCCCTTCCCAGAGCTCCCTCGGAAAGGCGTTCCGCGCCTCGGGGGAAGGGTACTCGCGCGCCTGGCCGCCTTGGCTCCCGCGACCCAGGGCGCCCTTGCACCGATCCCAAACCACCCCGCCTCTCCCTCCCCTTCTCCTGCTCCCATGCCTCCCTCCATCCCTCCCTCCCGCCAGCATTCCTGCCCTCTCGCCCCGCACCTCGTCGTCCCTTTTCTCCCTTTTCGCCCCGCGTCGTCGTCGTCCTCCTCCTCCTCCTCCTCCTCCTCCTCACATGTCCTCATCCTTCCGCCCCCCCTCCTTCCTCCTCCATCATCCTCCGCAATCCTGCTCCCGCCCTCCTCCCTCATCGTCCTCCATGCTCATCCTTATGAACCTCCTTTTCCTCCTCCTCCCTCATTCATCCCATTATCACCTCTCCCTCCTCCTCCTTCTCCTCCTTCTCCTCCTCCTCCCCTCCTCCTCCCCCTTTTTTTGACAACCCAACGTCGAGGCGAGTGCACCGCGTCTAGAAGGGCAGCAGTACAGGTGTGGAGGACACTGAGAAAACATGAAGGGAGAAGAGATCGAAAGCCAGTGGGACCATTAAATACGCAAGAGAAGTGGAGACAGTCGAGAGGGCCCAGGGCTGTCTAGCTGGCAGGAGCTGATTCAAAGATGGTTGAGGGACGAGGTGAAAGTGGACGGCCGAGCCATCCGCAATCCCAGCTGTGATTTCTCGCACCACCGCGCTTCCATCCACCCGATGAACGGCCCACTTGTTCATCCACCCCCTGGATGGCCCAGTTCGCCCCCTCCAATCACATGCGTCCATGTTGCGTCATCGCCCCCGTTGTAGCAATCCTGATGTACGTATGCCCCGCATTGCGCAAAGGTTGGGTACGTCGCCAAAGTATTTGTGTTGCTTCAATGGTCAGTCAGTCGGAAAGCATTCGACCCCCCCCCGCAGGATCTGGTTTACTTAAGTGCCCCCACTGTAACTATTGGATTCCTGGCCTGCCGCTCGTTCGCTCTCTCTCTCGCTCTCTCTGTCTCTCTCTCTCTCTCTCTCCCTCTCCCCCCCCCTCTCGCCCTCTCCCCTCTCGCCTCTATCCCTGTTCCTCTCCGCAGACTTCTGGCTCGGGCAGGCTGCTCTCCTCTTCCTGTAGCCAACCCGACACACCCGCTCGACAGTGAGCGGGTGGTGGCCCGCATGCGGCTGATCCCTACTTTGTGCTTCGGTGTAAACTGGTCCTGCTCCCTCCTTCCTCCCTCTCCTTGTAAAGGTTAGAAAAGCAGACCAGAAATCCTGGACCATTCGCTCATTGTGCTCCAGCGGAAAGTCCCTCTTGCATATACCTTGCATCTACGTTCCGTACATGTCATATGTTTTCATATAGCTTCCGATTACGTTTGATATGTACGTTTCTACGTTCTGGTTGCGTCTCCTGTGCGTTTGTGTAGTCGTTCCATGAACGTGTAATGTGCGATGCGTCTAACGTTCATATACGCTTCATGTATGTTTCAATTGCGTATAATGTACCTGCCGTATACGTTCCGTTTCAGTACCATGTACATGCAAGTCCAATGTACGCTCCGTAGGCGTTTCGGATGCGTTTCGTGTGCGTTTGGCATGCGTTTCGCATGCGCTCCTGACAACTTCCGGATACGCGCCCCATACCTGCCGTACACGTGTTATACTAGTTCCGTGAGCGCTTCGTATACGCTCGTACACACTGCCATCTTGGAACGCCTTGAGCCTATATATGGCCTTCTTGAAGTACTGAGAACTCACGTATAATAACCCGGTGGAGCGGTATAGATCCCAACTGCGTACAATGAAAACCGAGTGCCCTCAAGCTGTTCCATTCGGTTTTCGCTGCCAGGTCGACCATGCAAGAACAACACTTTGCATAGCTTTGTCTGGCGGTTGGGATCTGGACCGTTCTGGTATTCTTACTAATTAGGATCTGAACCGTCCGGTCGGGATCTGGACCGTCCGGCCGGGGTCTGACGTCGTCGCCTACCCCGGCGGTGCCCAGGGGCCCACAAAAAACACCACTAGGAGGTCGACTCCTTCTTCTGAGGAAGGGGCGGGGGACTCCCCCTTCCCTAGGAAAAGGAACAACGGCATAAACAGACACTTTTCGCGCTCCGCGCGGAGTTCTCGGATCTGCGCTGGAGCCCCCCCCCTGGCGCGCGGAGCGCGCCAGGAGCGGCGCCGAACGCGCCGCGGGGGGGGCCAGCGCGGATCCAAGAAATCCGCTCGGAGCGCCAAAAGTTTAAGTTTTTGGTGATCTCTCTTCTTTGCGAGGCGTGGATTTATCCATACTCACTGCCTGGGAACCGACGTCCTGGTGCCCCAGCGGGCGGTGGATATGGATACATTTTGGCCCCGGGAGCGCGAATACATCCATATCCACCGCCTGCCGAGGTCCCCGAAACTTGATCCTCCAGGTCGTGGTCATGAATAAATTCCAGCCTCGGATTCTTCTTCGCCTCCTCCTCCTCCTCCTCCTCCTCGCTCCTCCTCCCTCCCCATCCTCCTCCTCCTCCTCCTCCTCTTCCTCCTCCTCCTCCTCTTCCTCCCCCCCTTCCTCCCTCTCCTCCTCCTCCTCCTGGTCCCTCGCTCTCCTCCTCCTCCTCCTCCTCCTCCTCCCTCCTCCTCCTCCTCCTCCTCCTCCCCTCCTCCTCCCTCCTCCTCCTCCTCCTCCTCTCCTCCTCCTCCTCCTCCTCCTCCTCCTCCTCCTCCTCCCCCTCCTCCTCCTCCTCTCCCAGAACGCACCGCGAACACCTGGGCTCCAAACATCTGTCCGACCCTCGGCTGCCACTGCCTTTGGACCGCCGATCCTCGGGAGGAGGTGCCCACCCCCTCTCGTGGTGGCCCACTCTGGACAAGCGCGTTCCATTTCTCGCAGAGGAACTACTCGCAAATGGCCTGGATCCGCCCCGAGGGATTTACGATCAATTACATGTAAGAAGACATGTTTTTGCTCGGACGCTTGCGAGTAGTAGCACTCTGAGAGTAGCGGAGCGCGCTCGGTGAATCACTTGGCACGGCCTGAGCTGCCCTGCAGAACTGGAGACTGGAGAAGTGGAGGCGGCCTAGGGGGAATCCACGCTGGGCCGGGCCCCGAGTACATCAGTCAAGAGCGGGGATGAAGCCAACTCCGCTCAAAACCTGTCCCCGGACCCATCCTGGGGCCCATCTGGTGCAGGTTTTCACCCCCAAGGTTCGTTTTTGACGGCCCTGGGGCCCGAGTAAGGCCCCAAAACCTGCTCGGACCTGCTCGAAACCAAAACATCGAACCTGCCCCCCTTTTTTCCTGCTCGCCAGAAACCATGCTGGACCACCTCAGACAGTGGACTTTCATTTTGTCCGCTTTCGTTTGGTCCTCTTTCGGTTCGTCCTCTTTCGAAATCTGGACGAGTTGAAACTTGACGAACCGAAACAGACGAATCGAAGTGGACGAAACAAGGGGGACGAAATAACATCCGGACGAACTCAAGCGGAGCCGACTCCAACTGGAGAGACCAGCCTGGACTAACCTTAGCTCGGGCGTGTCCCCCTACAGGGGGATTCTGGGTGAAAAATTTCAAATACCCCAGAATACTCCAATCTGTTCGAACATAGTCAAAAAATCGTCCCCCGACTATTTTTTGCTATTTTTGATATCCCCCCTTTAGAAGGACAGGCCCGACTTAAGACTAACCTCCGAAGGCTGCCCCTGGAGGCCCTGCCGGTCTCCTCGGCGTCGGCCGACTGGTTCTCGAAGCCGTACTTCTCCCACATCTCCTCCAGCTTCTGCAGCTCCTCGGGGGACACTACAAGATTGGCGGCGCGCCAGGGGGGGAAGTAAGAAGGAGAAGGCTTTCTCAGAAGGCGGCGGGGTTTCTTGGGCCCCCCCCCTGGCCTTCTGAGAAATTGTTGTTTGCGCCTCCGGGGAAGGTTGGAACAAAAAACTCAGTCTCGCCGCCGAGCTGCTCCCCTGCACCTCTCCGGGGGGGGGTTCTCACCAGAACTCCAGGGCGAATCCAGCCGTGGCGACAAGGGCCTCCCAGGGGGCCCCAACGGGGCGAAAACGAGGGAGGGGTAGCAGTATCGTTGCCTGCTCCTCCCCTGATCCTCGTGCATGACGCGCTCCTGCCTGGGGGTCATCTTCTGCAGGTACTCGCGGAACTCCTCCTCCGCGGCGTCGACCTCCACGTCCTGGCGGACGGTCGCCTCGTCCGCCCCCTTCAGCCAGCTCCAGAACTTCTTGGTGTCCTCCTCGGACCAGGTCCAGGCCGGCCGCACTCCCAGAGTGGTCCAGTCCCACTCCTTCGATTGACCAAATACGGACCCCTACCCCATTGGGAGGGGACCTAAGTAGGAGGGCCTGGGACATAAGGATAGGGGGTCTTTTCTGCAGGTGTATCGAACCAAACCGCCCAGAATTATCATCCCTAGTGCGAAGACGGGGACCTCAGTGAGGCTACGTCTTCATCGCGTTACTAGGGTCAGGAGCTCTTTTATCCTCGACGATTGGCGCCGTGAGGAGGACACGGCGGCGCCCACAATCACGAGACGCGCAGCTAATGCCCGTATCCAGGCCCTCGCGGCCTGCGTTCCGGAGCGCGGCCTCGCGGATACGCGGTCGCACGGCTGCGTGCTGTGCGGGGGGCATCCGCGACAAAAACGCCCCGTGTCCGCAGGGTCGCGGCCCAGGGGCCCGGCCCGCGAGGCTGCGGACATATGTATGTATATATATATATATGTGTGTATACAGGGCAGTTGTTCCCTACCTAGGCTCTGCCTAAGAAAGGTTCTTACTCGGTGTGCTTAAAGGGCCGGGCAGTGGTCCCCGCCCCGGGCGGTTCCCCCAGTATCCGCCCCGCGGTTCCCCCAGTGGCGTTCCCTTAGCTTAGCGTTGTTTATATCCTCTTAGCTTAGCGTTTTTCATCTTAGCTTAGCTTAGCTTAGCTTCATCTTGGCTCAGGTTTATCTTAGCTTAGCTTACCTTCACCTCAGCTTCGCTGAGCGTTAGCATAGCAGAGCACAGCATAACATAGCATAGCATTAGCATGGGTGTAATTCCCTACCTAGGCTCTGCCTAGAGGGTTAGATTAGCTTAGCTTAGCTTAGCTTAGCATAGCGCAGCGCTGCATTAGCATAGCATAGCATAACATAGCCACTCATAGCATAGCAGATGATAACACAGCACAGCACAGCACAGCACAGCATAGCATATCGCAGCATAGCATAGCATAGCATAGCATAGCACAGCGCAACATGACATAGCATAGCTTAGCATAGCATACACATAGCGCAGCATATCATAGCATAGCATAGCATAGCATAGCATAGCGCAGAATCGCATGGCATAACATAGCATATTATAGCAACTAATGCTGCTTTCCTAGAGGCTCCAACTTCTAGGTAGGGTCGCACTGGGGCAATTAATACATCGGATGTTTAAACATATGGGATTTCACTGCATGGTTAATATATGAATAAATTTCTTCATACACTCATCGTTGTTTTTGATACTAAATCACTGCAAGTTTATGAAAAATGGCACTGCTTGCATTTCGCCCATGACACAGAGGGGTCGCGCGAGGGGGGTGGGCGTCCAAGACGGCGGCAAGGGCTGGAAGGCCGTGGAGGTTTCGAAGGAGGCGTCGCAGGGTGGGCCATATAAGCGCACCTCCCTGCCTTCTGAGAAGCCCCATCCGCCCTCGCAGAAGCCCACCCCCCTCGTGCCACCCCCTCGCGGGTGCCGCCCCCCCAAGAGAAATTGCTCCGGGAGAGGTGGGTCCTGGCTTCTGTGGCCATCCCTGGCGCCTGCCTGCGGCGAGCTCGCGTCGCGGCGACCCGCGCGCTGGCTCCCGACACCGCGCTGGCCGTTCCGCCTTGACCCGTCGGCGGCTCCTCGATCCCAAGACCGTTCCGCAATGGCCGCTCCTGGGCCACTGGCGGCGCTCCGCCTCGAACGCCCGCGCCGGGGGTTGCGGCCGTGCCGGCACGGCACGAACCTGCCGTACTGTCCAGCCCTTCGTGGTGGCGAACAAACCATGGGGCGACGGTGCCGCCTCCACGAAAGCCTGTGTTCGTGTTGCGTTGGCTTGGCGGTGGCATCGTAAACAACTGCTTCACCGAATCAGCTAGGTGAAACAAGCAGCACCCCGTCACTGAGGAGGCGGAGGGGTCGTCGGCAGTCTGCAAAGCTTAAAGTTACACAACGGGCCCGCAGCAGCCGCAGATTTTCTCGTCAACGTAACGTGCGTGGGTCGCGGGTGGGTCGCGGGCGGGTCGCGGGCGAGGAAGACAACAACAACGCAACTACGCAAAACAGCAGCCCAACAACAACCTGCACCGCGGAAGCCCACTCCAGCCACGCACCCAGCGACAGCGAATTCAACTGCGCGCCTGGCAAGAGTGACCTTCGGTGCGCGGCGTCGTGGGGGCCGCGAAGCAAGCGCGCGGGCCAGTGCCTTGGCCACCCCTGTGAGCCCGCACCAAAGGCCACTCCGGCGAAAGGCCACACTTACACGTCGGCCGGGAGAGGCCTGGTAAACATATGGCGGGAAGGCGGGTTGAGCAGATTCGAAGAACAAAAGCACATCAGGACCATGCCGATTCTTGAAGCAGGAAGGCGCTAGAAGTAGATCTGGATCTAGGAACCCCAAAAAAACACTTCCAACGACCGGCGTGCACGCGCAGCCGATGATTGCCCCGCTCGGCTGCCTCACTCCGCTGGGGCAATGGGAGCACCTACCGGCCCCGCGGCCCCGGAGGGCCGAGGACGGCGAACTTTCCCGTCGGCGGCGATGCGGAGGCAGGCCGCGCCAACGTGTGGCCAGTCGGGGCAACCGCAAGGCTAAGCTGCGAGGCGGGAATTTATCCATACCCACCGCCTGGAAACCGACGTCCTGGTGCCTCCGCGGGCTGTGGCTATGGATATATTTCGGCCCCCGGGGGGGCGAATGTGTCCATTATCCACCGCCTGCCGAGGCTCCGAGAGCCGACCTCGCCCACCTCTGCCTGCGAGCGGCTTCCGAGGGGCCTCCCGAGGGATCTGCGCAGGCCTCCAAGGGCGAAGGAGCCCCATGAGGCCCCTGAGAGCCCCTTCGTGGGCCCCTGGGGGCACGCCCAACTCTGCCTCTGAGAAGCTTCCGAGAAGCCTCCCGAGAGATCCCCACAGGCCTCCAAGGGCGAAGGAACCCCATGAGGCCCCTGGGAGCCCCACGTGGGCCCCAAGGGACACCCCCAGCTCTGCTTACGAGAGACTTCCGAGAGGCCTCCCGAGAGATCCCCACAGGCTTCCAAGGGCGAAGGAGCCCCAGGAGGCCCCTGGAGCCCCACGGGGGCCCCAAGGGGACACCCCCAGCTCCTCCGAGAGACTTCCGAGAGGCCTCCCGAGAGATCCTCACGGGCCTCCAAGGATGAAGGAGCCCCAGGGGGCCCCTGAGAACCCAACTCAAGCCCCAAGGGGCACCCCCCGCTCTGCCTCCGAGAGGCTTTCGAGAGGACCCCCCAAAAACCTCCTCTGGCCTCCATGGGTGGAAGCCCTGAAAGCCCCGAGTAGGCCCCAGGGGACCCCCCAGCTGTGCCTCCGAGAGGTTTCCGAGAAGCGTCCCGAGTGACCCCCCCAGGCTTCCGATGGTGAAGGAGCCTCTTGAGGCCCCGAGAGCCCCACGTAGAACCCAAGGGTCACCTCCAACTCTGCCTCCGAGAGGCTTCCGAAAGGCCCCCCGAACGATCCCCACTGGCCTCCATGGGCTAAGGAGCCCCAGGTGGCCCATGAGATCCCCACGACGGCTCCAAAGGGCATCCTCAACTCTGCCTCCGAAAGGCTTCCGAGAGGCCTCCCGAAAGATGCCCAAGGGCCTCCCTGGGTTAGGAAGCCCCAGGAGGCTCCTGAGAGCCCTCACGTGGGCCCCAAGGGAAATCCCAAACTCTGCATCCGAGGGGCTTCCGAGAGGGTCCGAGAGGCTCCCAAAGAGATGCCCACGGGCCTCCATGGGTGAAGGAATCTCGGGAGGCCCCTCAGAGTCCCACGCAGACCCGTAGAAACACCACCAACCCTGCCTCCGAGAGGCTTCCAAAAAAGGATCCCAAGAGATCCCCACATGCACCTGGGAGGCCTCTGTTCTGCACGGTGGCGGGATGGGCCGTAGGCCACTAGGTCCGCCGCCCCCTAGTGGCGTGCCACGAGGGTGCACGGCGTGCCGGACGTCAGGTACTTATTGGTCCTGTTCAAAAACTGCCAAAGGCATTCTTCTAATGCACTGGCCACCCACAAGCCGCCGAGCTGTCGTATCTCGTCAGCCTCTACATCCAGGATGGTCTTAATATTGCCTCCAAGAATGCCAAAATGGCGTCCAAAATAACAGAGATGGCCCCAAGAGGGCCCGAAATGGCAACAATATATTACCAACACGGCCGAAGATGCCCCCACCATGGCCTCCAAGACGGCCTAATCCTCGACGGCCTAGGAGGCCTGCGAAAAGACCTCCAGGACGGCCCCACGAGGCCAAACGCAATGACTTCCCGCTGGTGTTTGACATTATTGGCGCTTTCTCGTGTTCGACCCTCCGACGGCCCCAAAAAACCCTAGAGGCTCCAATATGGCCCAACACACACACACACACACACAAAAAAACATGCGAAATGGCCCCAGGACAGCCCAAGAGACCCCCAGGGCGGCCCCAAGCAGGACCCACAACAACAACCCAGGAGACCTCCAACACGCCCGAGGTGAAATCCGCGATGGCCCTGAAACGCACCAAAGAGGCCCAAAGCCGGCTGAGAAAGGCCACCCCAAGACCGTTTCCGACTGTGTCAGACGGGCCATGAACGCCCCCAGGTGGCCAACGAACCTGCTGAAGAGCTTCCAAATGCCCCCGCGAAGTCCAAGGAAGCCCCCAGGACGCCTCCAAGCGGCTCCCAAAAATCCAAAGCATGCCCCAATCGGCCTCCTCCTCCTCCTCCTCTTCTTTCTTTTCCTCCTCTCTGTTCCTCTTTTTTTTCCGTGTTTGTTGTATCCCCGCGTGTTTCCCGTAACAAAAAGGTTTCTGCACTGACAAAAGTGGGGGGCGCGCAGTCCGATAGCTCGGCCGAATTTTGGCCGCGAGGTTCGGCCGCATGGGCGCTTCAACAAGGCAGGGGCGGCGGCGATTCGCAGTGGGCGTCTTCGATCCGCCGCCCCCTGTCGGCTTGCCACAGAGGTGCAAGGCGCGCTTTGGTCATAAAATCAGCAGGGCGAAAATGGCCAAGCCACGCGCGGCCGCGAGCCCCGCAGTCGTGAGCGCCATTTTCGGTGAAACTCCCTGTAGGGGCACGAAGCGCGCGAGACGCGCAAAGTGGAACGGCGGCGGCGCGCGGGCGCCGCCACTGGGGCCTTCGGCGGAGCTTCCTAAAGGGCCTTCGGCGCGGTTTCGTCCGCCTGCGATTTGTTCGATGCGGGGCGTGGGGGAAGCTAGACCGTCCAAGATGACCCTTCCCTTCTCGTTCCACCCTCCTTCGCCCGCGCGCTCCAAAATCCAAGGCCGCGGGCACAGCGGTGCGCGGGGCCTCCGCGACGCGCGCTCGCGGCCTTGGACTTTGGAGCGCGCGGGTCGTGTGCTGCGCGGAGCAAAGAGAGCAACATGGCTGGCCGATAGGGGGCAAGGCCTCGGCCGCTGGACAGAGCGACAACGCGGAGTGGAGAGGCGCTGGGCAGAGCGCAGCGCGGAGTTCCCGCGACGCGCGAGGGTCGCCCCGAGAGGATCCCAGCGACGCGCGCGGATCTCCCGGTGCGCGAGGCCAAACGGTTGGACAATCAGAGAAGGCGCTGCTCGGGTGGGCCAGCACCCCGGGTCAGACCTGGCGGATAAACTCGGTGACGCCTCGCTCTCTGGCGAAGGCCGTCGCCTCCCTCCTGCGCCGCTTCGTGCGCGCCGCAAACTGCTCCAGCCGCTTCCGCAAGCCCTCCGGCGGCCCTGCTGGGAAGAACTCTATGCGCGGCGCCCGCATGGGCAGGAGGTCCTCGTGACGCGTGGCGCGCGAGAGCAAAACATAAAGCTCCAGCCACCACTCGTCGCCCTCCATCTTGCTATTTCCGACTTCGTGGCGGCCGCAGTCCAGGATCACGCCTGAGCGACGTCGGTGAAGCCTCAACTGGGGCCACCAAATGTGTGAAGGGTCTGTCGAAATGGACATGCCGTGGGCGGGGTGGGCTCATGTGGACTTTGCCTCTGGGGCCTTCGGCAGCCGGCACAACTCCCGGGACCACGAACCGTGAGAGGGGTGTGCTGGGACGTGCGGCGGGCGGGGTGGGCGCTTGTGGACTTTGCATCTGGGGCCTTTGGTGGAGGCCCCTATGGGGCCACGAGCCGTGTGAAGGGTGTGCCGACATGGACACGCAATGGGCGGGGTGGGCGCATGTGGACTTTGCCTCTGGGGCCTTCGGCACAACTCCCTATGGGACAACGACCCGTGTGAGGAGTGCGCCGGAAAAAGGCAAGCAGTGCCAAGGGTGGGCGCATGTGGACTTTGCATCTGGGGCCTTCGGTAGGGGGCCATGAACCGTGTGAAGTGTGTGTGTGTGTGTGCCGACATGGACATGCATGCCGTGGGCGGGGTGGGCGCATGTGGACTTTGCATCTGGAGCCTTGTGTGGAGCCCCATTTGGGGCCACGAACCGTGTGAGTGGTGTGCCGGAATGGACATGCGGCGGGCGGGGAGGGCGCATGTGGTCTCTGCAACTTGGGCCTTCGTTGGATGAACCGTGTGAGGGGTGTGCCGAAATTGACATGCGGCGGGCGGGGTGGGCGCATGTGGACTATGCCTCTGGGGCCTTCGGTGGAGCCCCCTTTATGGGGACACGAACCGTGTGAGGGGCCGAAATGGACATGCGGTGGGCGGGGTGGGCGCATGTGAGCTTTGCTGGTGGGCATTCGGTGGAACTCCATACGGGGCCACGGGCCGTGTGAAGGGTGCGTCGCAATTTACATGCGGCGGGCGGGGTGGGCGCATGTGACTCTGCCACTGGGGCCTTCGGTGGAGCCCCCTTTATGGTGCCACGAACCGTGTGAGGGGTGTGCCAAAGTGAGAGGGGTGACGGGAGGAGGGAGGGGGAGGAGGAGGCGAGGAGGAGAAGAGGAGGAACGCGGGGCGCTGTCTCTTCAAAACGAGGACCCAACACCACAGGGTGGTTGGTAAAAATCCCAGCGGGACTTCGGCCCAACCTGCCAGCCACCATGAGAGCCGCCGAACATTCGTTCTCCATTGGCCCAATCGCCTCCAAGACGGCCCGAGATGGCCTCCCAGACGCCTCAAAGACGGCCAAGATGGCCCCAAGCGAGCGTCCAAGACGGTCCTGGGATGCACCCAAGACGGCCAAGAGATGGCCTGAAGAGAACCCCAGATCGCCCTAACATGGCCTCAAGATCGCCCAAGACGGCCCAGGAGGCCTCCAAGATGGCTCAAGAAGCCTCCATGGAAACCTCCAGTCGAGGGCCCCGGAAGGCCCCCAAGGTGGCGAGGCGAAGCACGCCTCCAGGACCCATCCCCGCCAGGCACCGCCCTCTTCTAGACAAGCGCGCTCCACGACTCGCAGAGTAGCTGCTCGCAGATGGCCTGGATCCGCCGCAGGGGATCTACGATAGATTACACAAAGGCGAACGCATGGTTTTTCGGACGTTGGCAGTAGGCACTTTGCGAGTAGTGGAAGGCGCTCGGCGATCTTCCCTGGAGGAAGAAGTCAAGACCTTAAGCGAAAACTCATGGAGGTTCGCGCGGATGCATGGCATCGGCGCCAGGGAGGCCCCAGCGCAGGCCCAAGATAATTCCGCGCGGAACTCCGAATAAATAAGTATGCGCATGTTGTTATTATTATTATTATTACTATTATTAGTATTATTATTATGATTATTATTATTAGTATTATTATTATTATTATTAATATAACTATAATTATTATTATTATCATTATTATGTTCTTACTAGTGCTCGCCTTCTTATCATTACTATTATTCCTCTTCTTCGGTTTACACGGCGACGGGCCTCCGAGCGGTTCGCCCCCGCCCGCTCGGCCGGGAGCCTTGAGCATCGTTTTGCCGATCCTTCTCCCCACGGGCGTGGCTGGGGCCCTCGGATTCCGAGGGGCACATCTTGTCCTGGGGTGGGGCGCTGGTGCGAATCGGGATGGGGACTGGGGAAACCAAAAGGCTCCTGGGGTGGGGTGCTGGTGGGGATCGGGATGGGGACTGGGGAAGCCAAGAGGCACCGATGCCGCTGCTCCCCGGACCTCTCCTGGGGTGCGCCAGACTTTCGGGGCGGATGGACCGGCGGCGACGAGGGCCTCCCAGGAGGCCCGAAAAGAGGAGGGCGGCCGAAGGGAAGAGGAACACATGGGCACCTCTTCCTCCTCTGAGGGGCAGGGATCGGTGAAACGGTGCTGGAGCCTGCCGACGCGGCGGGTGAAGGCGTTGATCCTGGCCAGGGCCGCACCGAGCGCCCCGACCGCGGCGGGGCGCCGCGGGTCCGTGCCGTCAATGAGGCGCTGCGCCGTCGCCAGGTCCCGCTCCTCCTCGCGGCCGAAGGGGGCGGCCGAGACTCGCGCGCTCGGGACGTCATCGCGGGGATCGATCGATCGAGGATCGATCGATCGAGGATCGAGGGTCGAGGATCGAAGATCGATCGATCGAGGAGCGAGGATCGAGGGTCGCGGGCCGAGGATCGAGGATCCTGACCTCTCGGGTGGGCGCGGAAGCGCATCCCCGCAGGTCCTGGCGCACCCCGTCGCCGCCCCGGCGCGCCCCAACGCGCTGGGGGAGGGGCGTGGGGAGGGGGGTGCAGTGCCGACGCGGGGAACCAGCGAGGACCACCCAGAGTTTGGGTCGGTGTCTTGCTTCGGGCACCCGTCCTCGCTCTTGGGGCCCTTCAGGCCCTCTCGGCGAATCGCCTTGCGGAAGGCAATGGCCGTCATGCGCCGCATGAACTCGTCGATGCCCGTCTCGTTCTCGGAGTCCCACTCTTTGATCAGACTCTCCAGCTTCTCGAGCTCCTTCTCCTCCTGGGTCTTGTCCTCCGGCACCCTCCGCGCCGTGGCGAGCTCCTGCATGACGGCCCTCGTTTCCTCGTCCAGCTGCTCGTTCTCCTTCGCTGCCTGGTCCAGCCACTCGCGCATGCCGCCCGGGACCTCGATCGGCTCGGCGGGCGCGTCGTCCTCCTCCGACACCGCCCCCGGCGCCGCCTCGGTGCCTACCTCCTTCGCCCCGGCGGCCTTGGCGCGCTCCACGGCAGCCTGCGCCTCCGCCTCCGCCGCGGCCCGGAACTCTGCGTCCGCCTTGGCCTCCGCCTCCGCGAGGTAATCCTCCTGCGAGTAGGCGATCGACTACGTGTTCGATCTACCCCCAGATGGAATGATGGAACTGTCCGCCGAGTCTACGAACACTGCGCAGACTGCTCCGTCGCTCTGCGGAGCATTCTGCGCACGTGTCGCACCGTCGGCGGAAAACCTGGTTTGCGGGCAAACCGATCTTGTGAGCGATCCCCTGCTCGACTCCTCCGGCAACGCCCGCACCTCCTCCGCGACCTGGGCGCCCTGTTTCGCTTCGCCCACGAGGGTCGCACGCGCCTCCGCGCGCTTCTTGAAAGCCTTGGCCTCTGCCTCAACTGCCGCCCTGAACTCTGCATCCGCCTTTGACGAGCGAACAGCACACACACGTACCCATACGGGAGGTCGGAAGGGAGGAGGAGGACTGGCTATGGGTATGGTTGCGGGTTGTCAGACCCCTAGGAGGCTCCCGTGCGAGCGGGAACCGCCATCTGACAGCACGCATCCATAGCCTCCTCCGTCCCCACTATGGGTATGGGCGTGCGTGTGTGTGTGTGTGTTGTTCGTTCGTCAGCCTTGGCCTCTTCCTTTACCTCGTAATCCTCTTCTGGCAGCGCACGTACAGGGGCCGGTGTTGTCGTCTTATAGTCCTCTTCCGGGACCGCCCCTCTTCCGTAGTCCTCCTCGGGCACTGCCCCTGGCGCCGTCGTGCTGGTCCTGTAGTCCTCGTCCGAAACCGCCCCTCTTCCGTAATCCTCTTCCGCCACCGCCCCTGCCGGGGTCGTGGATATCTGGTAATCCTCCTCTGCAGTGGCCCCCTGGTGCTTCGCTTTGGCATCTGCCTCTTCCTTCGCCCTCGCCGCAGCCTCTGCCCATGCCTTCGCCTTCGCCGCAACCTCTGCCCAGACCTCTGCCTTCGCAGTGGCCCCAGCCGCCGCCTTGGCCGCAGCCTGAGCCTCTGCATCCACGGCAGCCTTGAACTCTGCATCCGCCTTGGCCTTGGCCTCTGCCTCCGCGGCGGCCTTCGCTTCTGCGGCTGCTTTGGCCTCTGCCTCTGCCCTGGCCACGGACGCTGCCTCCATCTTGGCCCTGATCTCATTCTCCCAAGCATTAAAATTCGCCGACCCATTTGGGGGTTCCAAGCGGGTGCATAATGCGCCCCCCTTTTTCCCTCCAAACTAAAGAGGGCCGAACTCACCGGAAACAATCGCAAAGAAATTTTGAAATTTGACTACGGGTTGTCAGCCCCCAAACGACCCAAGACGCCCTCAAGAGAGCCGCAACAAAACGGCCCAAGAGGGCCCCCAGACAGCCCAAAGAGGCCGCCGAGATGCCCCAAGAGGCCCCCAAGACGGCAAGAGTACCCCAAAAGAGCCTCCGAAGGGACCAGACAGCGCAATAGCGCCCCCAAGACGCCCACACGGGGCTCCGAGAGGCCCCCAAGAGACCTCCCAGCGGCCCCCAAGAGGCCTCCCAGACGCCCCCGCGAGGACCCAAGAGGCCCCAAAGAGGCCTGCAAGGGGCCCCCAAGAAGTTCACAGAGGCCCGACAACGACTGGACTGTACGTGCTCCGCACGCGCACCCCGCGAAGCGAGAGGAATCCACGTCCGGAGGTGACGTGCTGAGCGGCAGCGTTTGTCGGCGAACGCCTTAATGCAACGTATCCAATGTATCCAAAGAGTGCATAAGTTACATTATTATGTCCCCCCCTAACCCCCCCCAGGGGCTACGCCACATCCGTCGACCCAAAATGGCCACCCCCTCCTGAGGCTCAAAAGCCTATCAAAACCAAAACAAAAAAAACTATGATTTCGACCTCATGGGCCTCTTGGGGGGGCACGAAGGCGCCAAGACGGCTCAAGATGGCCCCAAGAGGGCCCCCAAAGCCCCAATGACGGCCCCAGAGGGCCCCAAAAGCGCCCACAACTGCGCCTCCAGAGGCCGAACTCATTGATTGTCCTATGGTTCTGGCGATATTTCAGCGTTCTCGCCTTTGCGGCCAAAACAGCTTCCGAAATTGCCCCAGAACAGCCCAAAAAGTTCCCGAGAGGCCCCCAAAACGGCCCAGGAGGGCCCCAAGACAACCCACAGAGGCCCCCAAGACGGTCCAAGAAGCCCCTAAGACGGCTCACCCCAAGAGGGCCCCAAGGCGGCCGCGAGAGGCCCCCAAGACGGCCTCCGAAGGGGCGAAGCGGCAGCAAAACGTCCCAAGACGGCCCAGGACGCCCCCAAGAGGCCCCAAGAGGCCCCCAAGAGGCCCCCAAGGGGCCCCAAGAAGCCCCCAAGAGGCCTCCAAGAAGTCTCCAAGAAGCATCCAAAAGGCCCCATAGAAGCCACCCAAAGCCCACACAACGACTGGATTGTACTGTCATGTCCCCCCCCCCCCCCCCTGGGCGGAGTGCGGCGCAGCGCCAACCAGATGGAAGTTGGTCACGGCGGCGCCCATGATTAGAGCTGGCGCTGGAAGGGGATACGGGGAGGGAGTATGAAAAGGAGGGAGGGGGGAGAGGCCCCAAAGACGCCCCCAAGAGGCTCAAAGAAGCTCCCAAGAGGCCTCCAGGAGGCCCCCAAGAGGCTCCCAAGAGTCCCCGCGACGACGTGACCAAGACGGTACAGGATGGCCCCAAGAGAGCGGCAGCGTTTTCTGCGGAGGTGATAATGCAACGTAACCAATGTATCCAATTGTTGCATAATTGCTACAAATGGTATTGTGTTACCCTATTATGTCTCCCCCCCTACCCCCCAGGGCTCACCCCACATCCGTCGACCCAAAAGTGGTGGACCCCTTCTGGGCCTGAAAACCTACAAGAACCGATGGAACATCGATTCGGGACTTTTGGCCCTCCTGGGGGCCCACGAGAGCCTCAAGACGGCTCAAGATGGCCTCTGCGCGGGCCAAGACGGCCCCAAGACGGCCCAAGATGGCCCCAAGAGAATCCGAAACGCTCCGAGGACGGGCCAAGAGGGCCGCAAGAGCGCTCACAACTGCGCCTCCAGATGCCGAAATGAGTGATTTCCCTATGATATGTGACGATTTTAGCGTTCTCGCCTTTCTCGACTCTCAAAGGCCCATGACGGCCCAAGAGGCCTCCAAAATCGCCCCAAGACGGCCCAATAAGCCCCCAAGATGGCCCCAAGACGGCCCAAGAGGGCCCCAAGACGGCCCAAATAGGCCCGCAAGACGGTCCAAGAGGCCCCAAAAACGTCCCAAGAGAACCCCAAGAGAGTCGCAGGGCGACCGCGGAAGGCCCCGAAAACAGCCTCCGAAGGGGCGAAACGGCGCGTAAGCGCCCCAAGACGGCCCAAGACGGCCCAAGACGCCCCCAAAAGGCCCCCCAGAGGCCCCAAGGGGCCGCAAGAAATCCCCAAGAGGCCTCCAAGAAACCCCCAAGAAGCATCCAAAAGGCACAAGACGCCCCCACGGAACTCCCGAGAAACCCCAAAACGACCTTGACTGCACGTACTCCAAACGTGCACCCCGCAAAGCGAGAGGAATCCACGTCTGGAATACACGTGCTGAGCGGCAACGTTTTCTGCGGAGGCGATAATGCAAAGTACCCTATGTATCAAGTTGTTGCTTTATTGCTACATAGTGTATTGTGTTACCCTATTATGTCTCCCCCTCTACCCCCCCCAGGGGTCACGCCACATCCATCGACCCAGAAGTGGTGGACCCCTTCTGGGCCTGAAAACTACAAAAACCTATGGAAAATCTATAACTCCCGACTCTTGGCCCTCTTTAAGGGCAGAAGAGAGCCTCAAGACGGCTCAAGATGACCTCTGCGCGGGCCAAGACGGCCCCCAGACGGTCAAAAGATTGCCCTAAGGGGGCCCAACAAGGCCCCAAGAAGGCCCAAGACGGCCCCAAGAGAACCCCCAAGAGCGCCTCCAGAAGCCCGAATCTTTGATTCTCCTTTGGTTTTTCAAATATTTCAGCGTTCCCGCCTATTTCGACTCTCAGAGGTCCAGGACGGCCGAAACAGCCTCCGAAGTGGCCGCCAAGTGGCCCCCAGACAGCCTAAGAAGCCCTCAAGAGGGCCCCAAAACGTCCCAGAGGGCCCCCATACAGCCCAAAGAGGCCGCCGAGATGCCCCAAGAGGCCCCCAAGACGGCCCCAGAGTACCCCAAGAGAGTCTCCGAAGGAACCAGAGACCGCAAGAGCGCCCCCAAGACGCCCACACGGAGCCCCGAGAGGCCCCCAAGAGACCTCCCAGAGGCCCCCAAGAGGCCTCCCAGACGCCCCCGCGAGGACCCAAGAGGCCCCAAAGAGGCCTGCAAGGGGCCCCCAAGAAGTTCACAGAGGCCCGACAACGACTGGACTGTACGTGCTCCGCACGCGCACCCCGCGAAGCGAGAGGAATCCACGTCCGGAGGTGACGTGCTGAGCGGCAGCGTTTGTCGGCGAACGCCTGAATGCAACGTATCCGATGTATGCACGTCTTGCGTCAGTGCTACACTGTGGATTTTTTGACATAATACGCCCCCCCCCCCCCGAAACCCCACCCCACCGAGGCCACGCCACGTGTTCCCCCATCCCTTTTTGGCCGCAAAGTCTACACGAAAACACATGGAAAATCTTGGATTGGGGTCTCTTGGACCTCTTGGGGGTCTAATGGGGGCTTCAAAACGGCTCAAAATGGCTCCAGTACGCATCAAACCGGCCCCAAGACAGTCCAAGATGACCCCAACAGGGCCCAAAACACACAAGACGGCCCAAGAGGGCCCCAAGAGCACCCCGAAGAGCGCCTCCAGAGGCCGAAATCATTGATTTTCTCCGGGCGGTTGGGAGATCTCAGCGTTCTCGCCTTTTTTGAATATGAAGGTCCGATGGCGGCCCAAGCAGCCTTCCAAAGGGCCCCAAAGCTACACACGAAGCTCCCAAGAGGGCCTCAAAACGGCCCAAGGGGGCCCCAAGACAACCCTAAGAGGTCCCCAAGACGGTCCGAGAGACCCCTAAGACGGCCCAAGAGAACCCCAAGAGAGCCTCAAGGGCGGCCGCGAGAGGCCCACAGGACGGCCTCCGAAGGAGCCAAAACGGTGCAAGAGCGCCCCAAGACAGCCCACGACGCCCCCCAGAGGCCCGAAGAGGCCCCAAAGAAGCCCCCAAGAAGCCTCACGAAGCCCCCAAGAAGGCCCCCAAGAGGCCGCAAAGAGGCCCCAACCAGGCGCCGCAACGGCTGGACTGTGCGTGCCTCCCGCGAAGCGAGAGGAATCCACGTCTGGAGATGGCGTGCTGAGCGGTAGCGTTTTTCGGCGAACGCCTCAACCTAACGCAACGTGTCCAACGTATGCGAGTATTGCCAAAGTGCTTCGCCCTTGTATGGTTTTGTGTGATTATGTCCCCCCCCCGCGTTACCCCCCCCGCCTTGGGGCACCCCACATCCGTCGACCCAAAGATGGAAGTCCCCTTCTGGGCCCCCAAACCTACAAAAACCCAAGAGGGCGTCAAGACGGCTCAGGATGGCCTCAGTACGAGCTGAACCAGCCCCAAGACAGTCCAAGATGGCCCCAACAGTGCACACATAGCCCCCAAGAAGGCAAAAGAGGGCCCCAAAAGCATGCCGAAGAGCGCCTTCAGAGGCCCAAATCATGAACTTGCTGGTTCACAGATTTCAGCGTTCTGGCCTTTTCGGACTCTCGGGGGCCCACGACGGTCCTGCCCAAGCAGCCTCCAAGATGGCCCCCAAGCTGGCCCAAAGGCCCCGAAGAGGGGCCCAAGAGCGCCCAAGAGGGCCCCTGCATGGCCCAACGAGGCCCAAAGACGGTCCAAGACGACCCCAAGACGGCCCAAGAGGACCCCAAGATAAGAGAGGCGGCTGGGAAAGGCCCCCAAAACGGGATCGGGAGAGGCCCGACGGCGCAAGAGCGCCCCAGGGCTAGCTACCCAAGAGGCCCCCAAGAGGCCCCAAGAAGCCCTAAAAAGGCCCCTCCCGAGAGGTCCCAAGGGGGCCTCCAGGAGGCCTCCCAGAGGCCCCCACGATGTTCGCAGGAGGTCCCACAGCGAGTGGACTGCGCATGCTCCAGACGTGCGCCCCGCGCAGCGAGATGGATCCTCGTCCGCCTTGGTCTCTGCATCTGCTTCTGCGTTGGCCGCGGCCTCTGCCTCCGGCTTGGCCTTGTTGGAGGCGTCGGAGTGGACACCAACACCAACACGGGGGGTTGCCTCCACAGGGGGAAGATGATCCTGGATGTTGGTGCTGGTGGCAATCTTTCGGCCGCCCAGGAAGCCAGAAGATCGCCATCATCACCGGGATTGGGATACTCTTCCCCCGGTGGGGGCACACCGCCGATATCGATGTTGGTGTCAATCTCTAGGCCACCGACCTTGGCCTCTTTCTCCAGGGCAACCTGTGCCTCTGCCTCTGCCGCCGCCTTGAACGCTGCGTCCGCTGCTGCCTCTTCCTCTGCAGCTTGCTTCGTGATCTCGGCGACCCTTCTCGCTTCATCCTCCGCGTTGGTCTTCTCGGCCTCTTCCGCGAGATTGGCACTCTCTTGCATCTCAGACGGGGCGCTGCTAGTCGTGCTTGAGGAAAACTCGAAGACTGCTGGAGCATCAGCGCGGTGGTCTTGGCTAGCGTCCGGGGCGGCCTTCGGGAGCACAGTCGTCACGCGCGCCTGAGCCTCCGCCTGTGCTGCCGCCTTGAAATCTGCATCCTCCTTGGCCTCTGCATCCGCCGCGGCAGCTGCCTCACGGGAGGCGTGATATTCTCCTGCCGCTACCGCCTTGAACTCTGCATCCGCTTTGGCCTCTGCCGCTGCACCTGCCTTCAGGGCGGCATCTGCCTGTGCCTTTGCCTTTGCAGCTGCCGCCACCTTGACCGCGGCCTGAGCCTCTGCCTCTGCCACCGCCTTGAACTCTGCGTCCGCCTTGGCCTCTGCCTCTGCCTTCGCCGCGGCCTCTGCCTTCGCCTGAGCCTTTGCCGCTGCGTCCAAGGCAGCCTGAGCCTCTGCATCTGCCACGGCCTTGAACTCTGCATCTGCCTGAGCCTCTGCCTCTGCCTTCGCCTTGGCCTCCGCTGCCGCCTTGGCAGCAGCCTGAGCCTCTGCGTCCGCTGCCGCCTTGAACTCTGCATCCGCCTTGGCCTCGGCCTCTGCCTTCGCCGCGGCCTCTGCCTTCGCCTTAGCCTTAGCCTGTGCCTCCAAGGCAGCCTGAGCCTCGGCCGCGGCTGCTGAACGGAACTCTGCATCCTCTTTGGCATCTGCCTCTGCGTCCGCCTTCGCATCTGCCGCCGCCTTGGCCGCAGCCTTAGCCTCTGCCTCTGCCGCAGCCTTGAACTGTGCATCTTTCATGGCCTCTGCCGCTACTTTCGCCGCGGCGTCTGCCTTCGCCTGAGCCTTGGCCTCTGCCTCCAAGGCAGCCTCAGCCTCTGTCGCGATCGCCAAGTGGAACTCTTTATCCTCTTCGGCATCTGCTTCTGCTTCCGCCTTGGCCTTGGTCTCGAATGCAGCCTGACTCTCGGCCGCTGCTGCCGACTGGGACTCTGCGTCTTCCTTGGCCGCTGCCTCCACCTTGGCCGCCGCCTGGAACGTTGCATCCTCTTCGGCGTCTGCCTTGGCCGCGGCTTCTTCCGCGACCTTGTTTCCCTTTTGCGCCTCGAACGATTGCCCACTCATGAGATTGGCGCCTCCAGACGGGGCGCTGGGTTCCACGGCGCCGGTGCCTGGGGCGAGAGTCGGAAGCGCTGACTCCACGTGCATGGCGGGCGGCGTCTGTTCCGACTCCGTCCCTGTAGCGATCGTGTTGTCATCTACGGCAGCCGAATCGTTGGACTCGAGGGCCACGGTCTTCTCCACCTCGGCACCCTGCTCAGCCTCCTTCCGCTCAATCTTTTCGTCATTGCACGGCATCGCGCAAGTGTTCCTGAGCTTGTCCAAAGTGTGCAGGAACGTCTGGAAGTCCTCGAAGCTGGAGTTGCTGGTCAACCCTGGGTACCACGAAGGGTTCTCGTGGATGCCCGTCTGCATGGCCCAGAGCACCTCGTAGATATGTGTTCACTAATGGTGTTCACTAATGCAGGTTAGCCAGCGTGGACCCTGGACAGTGTACGTACTTCAAGAAAGCATTGCAATCGATGTTGCGTAACTTATGCTGTGAAATGTATGAAGGGCGATATTGGTGGTGCAATATCTATGGTGCAGTATATGTTGTGTAATATATGTAGCGCAATCTACGTTGTACAATGTACGTGGTGCTGCCTATGTTGTGCAACGCATGCGGTGCAATACATGTGGTGCAGATAGCTTATGTTCGCGATGAGTTCGAATGACTTCGACATGAATTTTCAATAATTAGAAAATAGCGACGTGTAGATCAATTCGGCGATGAACGACGTGCTTGATATCCTGGACACTGGTTCCGCATGCCGCGGTGGCTATCCATCTCTTATCATCTGAAGACCCTGCGGATACGCCTCGCTCGCTGATGCATTTTGCAGCCAATGTATGGGAAGTAAAAGCGATATCCAATATCTCGATATCGATGAACTGTCGGGGATGGACAGAACCCCCTTTGGTAAAACGCGATTTAGTGAAAACGACCTCGGGCCCACACCTGGCGGGCGCAAGCCTGGAAAATGACGGGCGCGGCGCCCTCTCGAGAACCGAAAACGGGCAATTCACAAATAGACGTGTCAGGGTGGGGGTTCTGTCCACCCCCGACACGTGTTGCTACGTTGTTCGGCGACTGCTCATTTCAATGTCACTCCGGCGGAGGTTGCCGACCAGGGGAAAGAAGCGCTCGCGCATCCGATCTGCTAATGGACTCAGGCAGAAGGCGCTTGGCGAAAGAAAATGTTGGGACGAATCGGATTCCAGATTGCCTCCGGAACAGCGCCTTTGTCGATGAAGTTGGCGCTCTCAGAACAGCTCCGTGACTCGCATTATGGAAACATTATTGGTATACGTGTTCAAGGACATCGATGTAAACAAGCCCTTACGACACCGTTTGTTTTTCCAGTGGCTTCGGCATGCGAGCGCGACGACGCGCGCGTAAGGACTTTGTCCCTCTTGTTCGTGGCAAAAATTTCCAGATGCATGCTACATATTCTCGATAACCGAGTGCGTTCGAAAACTATCATTTCGCGAGGATTAGCAGGGGTGCCAGGCCCAGTCTGGCTGGGATGGTGCGAGTATATTTTCGTAACGACAGATGGAACAGGAACATCTGCATCTGTAAATTGCACTACGCGGGGCTGGCATGATAATCCTGTGTGAATGTGTGTGTTGTGGGAAGGGGGATGCATGTCGCCTCCCAGGTAGACATAAAGTTAATGTGATGTAGTGAATATTGGAGAGCATGAAATTGTCAACTCCAGTGCTTGTGCGATCATCCCGCCAACCCGCACGCAACTTGGTTTGCAAAACCCATGCGGCGGCGATTGCGATGACTGCTTGGCGCTGGCTAGCAAATCGCTGCGGCCGGGCTAGCGCGCGCAACCTCGCGGACGAAACCGGCCAGCCACTTTGGCGAGACACCCGCGACAAACGTGATCGCCGTTGCGTTGTCCGCTGGGGCTGCGGACTCCCCAGCGCGTCCAGCAGGCCGCGCTGGCGCGAAGTATCATGGCGGCGTGACGGTACACGCGGTGATGGTAGTAGCGATGCCGGCGGAGAGGATGACGCTGACGACCGCGGGGCCAATGACTGCGCCGCTGCGAATCGCGCCGATGGCGATGAGGACGCCCACGCGTCGACAATGAAAACTTTAGAACGATGTCGGCATGCGCGCGCAACGGGCAGGCGCGATGGCCCGTATGGTATTATTTGACAGGGGTCGTGCCCCCCCACAGCGAGCGCACAAAGGCGCCCAAATGATTTCGACATGCGCGCTCGAGGGGCCCGCGTGGCCGCATTTGGTGAACATTCTGACAACCTGGTGGTTTGCAGAAGCATTCGCACGAGAGCACGCGCAGACGTTTTGAAACACCACGCTGTAAAACCATGTGGGTGTCATTTGTTTTCGGCAACCTCGATATTGAATTTCATGCGAAACCTGTGGCTGTGTTATTCAAACGAATTCTGGCATGCGCGCGCGACGAGGCGCGCGTTCGGCCATTCTCTTTGCATTTCGCATTGTTGCAAAAACGATCCCAAAAAAGTCGAACGAACGAGTATCCATCCGTGAATTATCAACCCCATTGCTCGCGCAATCATTCCACCAACGTGCCCGCGATTTGGATTGTAAAACCCACGCGGCGGCGATTGCGGCGACTGCGCGGCGCTGGCTGGCGCATCGTCCTGGCAGCGCTAACGCGCAAGCTCGCGCGCGGGGCGGCCAGCTAGTTTGGCGCGAGCAACCCGGCTGCGGTGGCATTGACCGCTAGGGGCTTCCCAGCGCGTCTCGCAGGCCGCGCTGGCGCGCAAGCGCTTTCATGCGAGTCGGTGGCTCGGGCGGGCGCAATATCATGGCGATGCCGACAGCATCAGACAAGAGAATGATATTGTCGAAGATGGTGACGGTGGTGCCCGCGTGTCGGCGACGAAAGTGCTGAACAAATTTCGACATGCGCGCGCGGCCGACCCGCGCGAATGGCCCGCGCGGTGCATTCCGAGAAGGACCGCGTCTCCAGCAAGCGCGCACAAACGCTCGAATGATCCCGACACGCGCGGTCTAGAGGCTCGCGTGGTCGCATTTGGTGAACATGGTGAAAGTCCCAAACTGTTTGCAGAAGCATTCGCCAAGGCGCGCGCGCGCAAACTTCTTATGGTTGCAGAAGCAGGTAGCAAATCACGTTATACATATGTGTTCGGGCAACTGGGTCTGGAGATCTTGCGGAACCAAAAGAGATTAAATGATACCGGCATGCGCGCTCGACGACGCGCGCGCGCGTCGACATCGCCCTGAGGTTGACATCCGGTTTTTGAAAGCGTAGGACAGTTGATGATCAGGTTTGCGCGTACAGTATATGTTGTGAGGGGTCATGGGGTTTGCGGTGAGGCGTCTAGCAGGAACGGCATGATATTGTATTCGCAATAAACGATGGGGCAAACACACATGCCGATTGGACTATCCCAGGGGGGAGGGGGATAGTTCCGGGGGGCAACATTGTTTCTTTCAAAAAACAATGTGGCACAACTTATGAAATGTGCGACTTTACGATTTGCTGTCTACAGTGTGCACGCTCGGCTGTGCCATATGCAAGGTGCAAGCTATGCGGTGCAATGCCATGTATCAGTGGTGCAATCTACGTTGTGCAATTGTACTAAAAAAACGAGCTGACGCGCCCCGCGCTCTTGCAAACATCCCACCCACCCACCCGCAACTTGGTTTGCAAAACCCACGCGGGAGCGATTGCGATGCGTGCTTGGCGTTGGCTGGGGCAGCCCTGCGGCCGCGCCAACCGTAGCACGCACGCGCAACGGCCAGTTCCTTTGGCGCCACCGACGCGGCCGCAGTGGCGTTGACTGCTGGGCGCGCCCCAGCGAACACTTCACTGCGAGTCGGCAACTTGGGCGGGCGCGGTATCGCGGCAACGCCGACTGCGGTAGACTCGATAATGGTAATGGCGCTGCTGGCGAATATGTTCGCACAGGCGAAGGCGCGGCCATTGCGGGCGCCGATGCTGATCGCGCCGACGACGATGACGGCGTCTTCGCGTCGGCGATGCAAACTTTGGAAAGAGTTCAACATGCGCGCGCGGCCGACGCGCGAGTAGCCCGCGTGGTGTTATGCGACGCGGGTCCCGCCCCTTCCCCCCCACTTCAGCACGCGAGCAAGGGAATGCGAATGACGTCGGCATGCGGCGCCAGAGGCCCGCTTGGCAGAATCCCATGACGATGATGATAAACAAAAAACTATTGGTTTCGGAAGAATTCGCAGGGACGCGCGCGCAAGCTCTTTCTTTTGTTCGGGGAAACTGGTGTTGCGAAACCATGCGCGTTTGAATGTCTTTTGGGACTTCGGTTTTGAAATCGCTACGAAACCAGAAAGGTTTTGGAGGATCTCTGCGCGCGCGACGACGCGCGCGCGTGGGCTGCGTCTCATTTGCTGCAGAAGAGTCTCACGACGGCGCGAGCGCAAAGGGGCCCGAACGATTCCGACACGCGCGTGCGACACCCGTGTGGTAGTATGTTCTGAAAGTGTTGAAAACCTGTGGTGTCCCTAAGAATTCGCAGGGAAATCGCGCACGTGCTGCTGGATATCCGCGTTGCGAAACCATGCGGTGTTATATGTTTGTTCGACAATCGATTCTGGAACCCTTACAGAATCAATCGGTTTTCGGCGGATTTCGGCACGCGCGCGACGACGCGCGGGTGTGCACATCGCCGATTCTTTCCGCAGAAGATTCTTGGACACGTATGATTGTTGATGAACACGCGTGCGCGCATAGAATGCGTTGCAGAAAATGGCGGGGGGTAAATACCGGCTGGACTGGGATGGTGCGAATTCGAATTCCGGAAAACAGATGGGACAACACCACATGCAACACGCATGACAATCATAGTTTACCGATAAAGCCGGGGGTAGAGTCTATTCTATTTTTAGATCGGGTAATGTATGTTGTGCAATCGGTATGGCGCAGTTGATGTTTACCCATGAACTGGCACACCCCAGGCTCTTGCAAATCCCACCCACCCACCCACCCACAACTCGGTTCGCAAAACCAAAGCGGAGGCGATTGCGACGCATGCTTGGCGTTGGCTGGTGCATCTCTGCGGCCGCACCAACCCGAATCGCGCGCGCAGCGGCCAGCCAGTTTGGCGCCGCCGACGCGGCCGCGGTGGCGCTGGCCGCTGGGCGCGCCCCAGCGGGCACTTGACTGCAAATCAGCGACTTAGGCGGGCGCGGTATCACGGCAACGCCGACTACGGTAGACGCGACGGTGATAGTGGCGACGCTGGTGACGATGTTCGCACCGACGAAAGCGCGACGAGCGCGGGCGCCGATGCTGATCGCGCCGACGACGATGACGGCGTCCTCGCGTTGGTGATGGAGGTTTTGGGAAGAATTCGACATGCGCGCGCGCGGCCGACGCGCGAGAGCGGCCCGCGTGGTTTTATGCGACGCGGATCGCGCCCCCCCCCCTCCCCCAGCGCGCGCGCAAAGGCGCGCGAGTGATGTCGGCATTCGACGCCAGGGGCCCGCTTGGAATAATTCCATGGAGATGATGTAAAGCCGATGGTTGTCTGCGGAATTCGAAAGGGCGCGCGAGCAAGCTTTGTTTGAAAACTGATGCTGCGAAGCCTTCTGCTGTTGAGTGCGCTCGGGCATTCGTTTCGAAATTGCAGCGGAACCGAAGGTTTTGGAGGATTTCGGCATGCGCGCGCGAAGACGCGCGCGTGCACTTCGTCCTTTGCGCGAGGGATTCTCGTGACGGCACGCGCGCAAAGGCGCTCGAGCGATTTCGACATGCGCGCGCGACGCCTGGTTGGTACTATGTTCTGAACATGTTGAAAACAACTATTTTTATGAATTCGCATGAACGTGCGCGCTCGTGCTTTTGGATATCCGCGTTGCGAAACCAAGTGGGTTTCTATGTTCTCTTGGACACTTGATGTTGAAAGCCTTCCGAAGCCGAAGGTTTTTGAAGGATTCCGGCATGCGCGCGCGACGGCGCGCGCGCGTGCACTTCGCCTCATTGTTTGCAAGGCATTTTTGAAAACTAATGATTCCTGAAAAACGAGCGCGCGCATCATATATGTTGCAAAAGATGCCGGGGGGGGGGGGGGCGGTCGATGCCGGCCCCCCTGGGATGGTGCCGACTGATTTCAAGGACGGACGATGGGGCAGAATCCTATGTAAATTGCAATACGCAAAAGGTGTGCCCATGAACTTGGGGGGAGGGGGGTCCTGTTTCCTCAAAGAAGAACTGATTTTACCAAACGAGTTGACACGCCCCACGCTCTTGCAAAACATCACACCCACCAACCCGCAACTTGGTTTGCAAAACCCATGCGGTGGCAATTGCGATGCGTGCTTGGCGTTGGCTGGTCCATCTCTGCGGTCGCACCAACCCCAACGCGCGCGCAGCGGCCAACTAGCTTGGCGCCGCCGACACGGCCGCGGTGGCGCTGACGGCTGAGCACCCCCCAGCGGGCACTTCACTGCGAGTCGGCGACTGGGGCGGGCGCGGTATCATGGCAGCGCCGACAATGGCAGACACGATGATGATAGTGGCGATGCTGGTGACGATGCTGACGCCGACAGGGGCGCGGCGAGTGCGGGCGCCGATGCTGATCTCGCCGACGACGATGACGACGTCCTCGCGTCGGTGATGAAGGTTTTGGAAAGAGTGCGAGAGTTCGACATGCGCGCGCGCCCGACGTGCGGCGGAGTCTATTCTTTCTTTCTTTGTTTCGACCCCCCAAAAAAGGAAAACACGTTGTGTGGCAGAAGGGGCGAGAACATAGCCGCCAGGCCGCCACGCGGGCCCAAACGACGCGCGGCGACGAAACTGTGACGGGGCGGCGACGGCGAGCACAGAACCGTCAGACCGACATTCAGGCGTAGCTTCCTAGACGAGAAGTAAGAACTCGTAAGTGCAAGCGCTGTTCGGGGAACTGTAATGTTAAGCGCGCTTCTATGACCTGTGGGGGCCTGCCCCGCTCGCGGCGACCACCAGGCATCGAACGTCAGGCTTGATTGACAGAGAAAGTGGGTCATCAACCGCCTGGCCAGGCATGTGGCAACAGTGCAGTAGTCTTAGAGACGAAGCAACTTGGAAACCATGACTTTACCTGGGCCCGCCATCCGAACAAACCTCTGGACCTTCGGCACAGAAAACAAAACATGAAGCTCCTCGACATTGTTCAGTGCCCTGGAGCTCTTGTGGGAGCACAGAAAGCACATTTAGTTCGCCATCTGGGCCACGACTCATTACACTAAACATTGAACTACGCTCCCGAGGCCAAGATTGCTCGTGAAAGGCTGGTCGGGCTACTCACGGGCTTTTGATCTGAAGCCAGGCGGGCATCTTCCTTTCCGAGAGAATCACAACAACCTCTCCCCCCAAGCGACACCGGGAACCCCCCTTCTCCCCCACCCTTTTCCCCGACAGTCCAGGCGGAAGAACATGGGACGACTTGTAACCAACTTGGCCAAACCCCAACCACTTCGGAGCACAACCCGACGAACCTGTACCAATGCCAACCAGGACGTTTAAACATCCTTCACAGTCGGAAGCCCGGAGGATCCCTCAAGGAACTCCAAGAGATCTCAATGGAGAATCCCTGAACTTTTCTGCGAAGGTCCTATGTGATATTTCCAGAACGTGTACGGTCTGCACCACATCCGGAATGGGTGGCCAACGGTCTCTCGCACGGCCTCCCGTTTGGTCTCCGGTACGGTGTCTCTCGAATCTGGTATCCCCGATGATCTGCCGTGCGAAGTCTCCCGCATGCTCTCCCGTGTGATCTCCCTCATGGTCTGCCGCATGCGCAATATTTGCACGATGTACTCCATTTACTAAGTAGGTGAGCGTTTTCTTATTCGGCGTTTCGACACTGGGCGGGGGAGGGGGGAGGGAACGGGGGGGTCTGGCTCCAGATCTCTGCTGAGTGCGACGTTTTGTAGCAGTGTGTCCTGCGGGGGAGGAGCTCCACCTGCTCGAAGCAGACGCCAAAGAACAGCCAAGGGGAGGGGGGGGGGTGCGAGGGCCCGCGCCGATTGGCCAAACAACTGTTGAAGAAAACGGCCACTCGCTCATGATGCTGTTTGGGGCCTTCTGCTGCCCAGCGTGAGCTCCAGCGTCTGCCGCCGCGCCGACGATTCTGAACACGCCCAAGAGTACACCCAGCCGACGCCACGGCAGACCCACGGCAGACCCCGTGTCCGACGCAGAGTTTGCCCTGGCAGGCGCTGCCCCCCAAGATGCGAGGCCGCGCGTCGGAACCCCAACGGCGCGGCGACACACAGCCAAGACGCTGAAAGAGGGAACCGCTCGGGTTGGGAAAGGGGCTCGACGTTCCTTACAGTTAGTAGGTCCTTCCATGGCTGTTTCTCTAGCGCTCCTCGTCCAAGCAGGCGGGCTTGGGGTCAAAAAATGGGCTTCGTTACTCTTTCAGCGGCCTGACTGTATTCCTTCGACAGCGTGAGGCTTTGCCTCGGATCTTGTGAGGGTATCTACAGCGGCTATACAACCATTAGGGTTAGGTCGGGCATGTCTCCTCCAGGCGAATCTTGGACGAACAACTGAAAGATACTCCCCAAAAATACTCCAGAACAGTCAACATTGTCAAACAATCGTCCCCAAACTATGTTTGGACTACTCCTCATGGAGAGGGGCACGGCCCGACTTGATGTTTGGGGCCCTTTTGGAAATCACTACGGTTCCTTACGAAAACCTGCGGTCGTTCCTCGGCAAAAGCCCATACCACCTACGCGTCTCAAAGACACATCTGCAAGACTCCCGAACAGACCCGTGGGACTCCTGCGGGAATCACCCAGATCCCAGAGGACCTCTGTACGAACAAGAGGAGGTGGAGGAGGACGAATAGAAGTAGGAGTAGGATGAAGAGGAGGAGCAGGAGCGCCTCGGCTCGGCACAGGGGGCTCGCAGGGCGTACGGGGGGCCCAGCGGGCCCAGAAGCCCCACGGACCTACCATAGCTCACGGGGGATCGTGACCCCGGGAGCGCGGATTTAGCACAGTCTCCGAAAGATCGCGCAGCGAGAGCGCGGACCCAGCATAATTCACTGGGGCTCGTGACCCTGAGAGCGCGGATATGGCATAACTTACTAGCGGTCATGGCCATGGGTACAAGGACCGAATGCAATCTACAACGAACGGTGGCCTTGATCTGTGCCTTGGCTGTGAGCTTCCTCGGTTCGTTGCTCTTGCGTTACCACTGCGTTGGTCAGGTGGTGTTTTTGCTTTGCGTTGCAATGCTTCCGCGTTGTTGTTCCATTCCCTTCCTGGCTTCGCGCTCTCGTGGCGTATTCGAAGTTGCGGTGCTGTCAGGTTGATTGACGTTCGATTCGCATTACTGTTGCGTTGCATGGGGGTCGCAGCGCGCATCGTTTCTACACTTGCAGCAAAAGCGAACTTGCTTCGGGTGGTCCGCACCAGGGAGTTGCTGCGAATGGTTTTTAAGTCACTCGCGTGTGACTCTACAGTGTAATGCGTTTCATATATGGTTGCTGCGCATGTTACGCTTGAGTGGTGTTTTTGATTCATGTGCTAGAATTACAAAACTTGCAAGCGCGATCCATGCAATATATAGTAATTTGCACGTGTAAGTTGGATAGTTATGCTAGCTATGAGTATTCGCATGCGCTTGATATGCGAGTGGTGATGCATGATGTTGTTTAGAAGCTGCTGTCATTCGTGTGAATAGCAAATGCTTCTACGATTGCAAGTTCACAACCCATGGTGCGTAATGATACTAGTAAGACGTGTTCTGTTGACGTATGTAATTGGTATTGACGTCGATATGCGTTACGACTGCATGTGCATGACGTGTGCTCTCGTTCGGGCTTTTGACGCGCGTGTTTGGTGTATGGTCTTGTTTTTTATGTATCAGCGTGGTGCGTGTTCGACACAGCCCCGTCCCTACTAGGAAGGCTTGGCCTCTTTGTGCGACCTGCCGTCAAAGGTTGGGACAGCTCCCCTCGCCGTCGGAGTCGGATCTTGCAACACCCGCCTCGAGGGGTAAGGCAGGTGGCGCCAAGTAATCGTCCTGGCCCACACGGGACGGGGATAGGTTTTACAATGATGACCGATGACAGGAGGGCGAAACTCTTGAATCACTTTGGACATCCCAGGCCGCCTCTTTGTGACACCCCTCGCCCACGACGGCCGTGTGGCACGCCTCCATCCTCTGCAGCGGCTGCGCCGGCTCCGACACCCCCTGCTCGCTCTGTGGCTCCGCCTTGCAGGCCTTGGGGCACACGTCGGGGAGCCGCTTGTGCAAGAAGTCCTGGAACACCTCGAACGCGTCAGTTTTGTGCAGTCCTGGGTAGCGGAACTTGTGCTCGACGATGCCTTTCGTCATGGCCCAGGTCACCTCCTTGTGGGAGGAGCGGTCAAAAAGCTCCCCGAAGTCCCCGGGGTCTCTGGAATTTCCCCCTTGTCCTGGAAGCACGGAAATCCTCCGGAGGTCTCCGACGAAGGAGGAAGAGTAGCAGGATGGGGAGGAATGGAGGTAAAGAGCAGCAGGTGGAAGAGGAGGACAGAGGAGGAGGATGAGAAGGAGGAGGAGAAAGAGGAGGAGGGGGCCCCAGAAGCCCCTGAAGGGCCGAGGACGACGACGGGGATCTGCGTGCTGCCGCGCGGCTGCCATGCGCTGGGGGTCGAATCCCCCCAGGGGCGGAATCCGGAAGAGGACAAGCAGCCTGGGAGGCCAGCCAGTGCCTGGGCGGAGCACAACTAGCCTCACGATGGGTCCGGCCGCAGGGCAAGAACGATAGGACGATGCGGGGCAAGTGCGATCCGAAAGGACCGAGACGGGCGGAGGCTCGCATACGAACGCACCCGCTGAAGCAAGAAAGCGGAGCTCAAATGGGGCACGATCCGCGCGAGGGGGTGCCGATTTGGGCAGAGGACCGCATATGACCTGGGGCCGCAGGCCGTAGGAGGACCAGATTTGGGGCGCTATCCGCGTGAGGGTTGTGCCGAAATGGGCGGGGAGACGCGATGCCTGCGCCTTCACTGGGTTCTGAAGGTCCCTAGAAGTCTCTGGGAAGGATCAAAGTGAGGATGACGACGACGAGGACTCGAGACATCCGATGGATGGAATCCCACCAGCACTCTGGGCGCAGGTGGTTTAAGGAGACAATTATTCTGGGGGGGGGCCTCCCTCTTCTTCCCACTCCTCCTCCTCGTCCTCCTTCTCATCCTCTTCCTCTTCCTCCTCCTCCTTTTTATCCTCTTCCTCCTCCTCCTCCTCCTAGCATGATCCTTTTGGGGATGGAGTGTATCACTTCTCCGAACTAGTCAATAAACATCCTCTCTCCCACTCGTCCTGCGCCCAGCCAAGAACCATGCCGGCCCCCCACCACACCGTCCCAGTCAAAAACCTGGCCTGGCGAAGGACCCCCCGATGCAGCTGCGAGCAGGGCAGGATGTGGCCCTCTTTTCGTAGGCAACGAATCGCGTAAGGAATGGAACTCGGCGAAGTGCGGATGGGGGTGCGACGGACCAGGCGCGCAGAGGCGAGCTGAGCGCCCCTGATCTTCTTGCCCCTGCTCTCCTGGTCATCCTTCCTGCCCTGCCGATCCTCCTCCTCTTCCACTTCTTCTTCCTCCTCCTCTCGACGATTCTCGCTCCATTTCTGGAGTTTTCTGTTCCTACTCCTCCTGTTTTGTTCCTCTTCGTCCTCTTCCTCCTCCTCCGAAGTGGGCGGGGGGGCACACACATGGACGCGCCCACTGGAGCCATATGTTGGAGGAGCTCCCCAACGGTGCACGATCCGTTTGGGGGGTGTGCCAAACTGGGCTGGGGGGCGATATGTGGACGCACCCCCCGGCGCCGCAGGTGGAGCTCCCAATTGGAGAGAACAAAGGCACCGATACCGCTACTCCTCGGACCTCTCCAGGGGCGTTCCCTGACCAGGGTCCCGAGGCGAATCCACCGGCGGCGACGAGGAGGATATTCGGTCTCTGTAAACCCGAACGACACTTTACAACCGAGATAGGTCCACTTTACAACCAGCAAAGGATCGAATTCGCTGGTTTTCCTCTGAGAACGACCACTTTACAACCAGAGAAGCACACTTTACAACCAGAACGACCACTTTACAACACCGACGGGGCCCTTTGCAACCAGAGCGGCTACTTTACAACCAACCTTCAGAAGCGCGCGCGCTGCAGGGGCTGCTAAAGCTTCTGAGCGTCTGGACGCTTTGCAGAAGTATCTGAGCGCCTGAGCGCATTGCAGAGGCTTCTGAGCGCCTGACCGCTTTACCTGAGCGCTCTGCAGAATCTCATGAGCGTCTGAGCGTTCTGCAAAGACTTATGAGCGCCTGAACGCTCTGCAGAGGCCTCTGAGCGCCTGAGCGCTCCGCAAATGCTTCTGAGCGTCTGAGCGCTTTGCAGAAGCATCTGAGCGCCCGGGCGCTCTGCAGAAACGTCTAAGCACCTGGGCGCGTTGCAGAGGCGTCCGAGCACCTGAGCGCTCTGAAGTCTTTCCGGATCGAGAACAAAAGCTGCCTGCGATGCCCAAACAACTCGAATTGAAATCCGCATGCGTTGGTTAGAAATCAGAATTTAACCAACGATCTCTTGGGCACTTTCCGCCCTCCTGGGCACGCATGTTTCCGCAATTGCGCAAACATGCAGTTTTGCGATTACCAGGCGATGGGGCGTGAGGACAAACATGGCTTATGATGCAACAAAGCAGAATACACAACAAAACCACAGCTTGAAATCCACACGCATTGGCTAAGGATTTGTGCAAACGATTTCTTTGTCATATTTCTGCCCTCCTGGGTACGCATGCTTCCGCTAATGCGAAACATGCAGTTTGTTGTTGCCAGACGATGACTCGCGAGGACGAAAATTATCTGTAAGGCCGGAAGCAACAAATTGGCATCCTCACGTAGTGGCTCGAATGTTACCATCCTAAGATGTTGGCATCGATTTCGTTTCCACTTTTCCGCCCTCCTGGGTACGCATGCGACCGCGAATGCGAAAACATACGGCTTTGGTACTGCCAAACGGTGAGGCGCGAGGACTTAAATTGTCTGCGAGGCCAGAGAGACACACACATTTAAATCCACACGTGCCGGCTAAAATTTTACCATCGACTTCTTGGCAACATGCGCGCCCTCCTGGGCACGCATGCTTCGGCAAGTATGAACACGTAATGTTGCTTGCTATTTCCAACAGATGAGGCGCGATGACAAACGTGGTTTTGGATGCAAAGAACAACACATAGGAAATACACATGTATTGGCTAGAAATGTATCACTGATTTCTTTGCCACATCTCGCTTCCCTGGGTGCGCATGCTTCCGCACATGCGGAAACATACGGTTGCGTCGTTGCCAGACGATGAGGCGCTAGGGCCTAGATGTTTACGATGCCAAGTATATGAAATCCGCATGACTTGGATAGAATGACTTCTTGGCCACATTTCCGCTCTCCTGGGGGCGCGCGTGTTCCTTTGCGTCTGTTGTTGCGAACGTGTATTGTTTTACAGAAGAAGCAGGATTTCCAGGCAGAGGTTATGAGGCTCCAAAACAGCGATATACAGTTATGGCGTATATAAAAACTTAAACCGTCCAGGCCTGTCACCAGCCTATAGCGGGAGGGTCTCTGTTGGATTTCGATGTGGTTCCAAGAGTTCCCTTTTGGATACCACACGGATAACAATAGGACGCCACTCGGGGCACAATATGAGTCACATGGGACAAGTTTGTGTTGAGTTACAGTTTGCGACCTGGTGGGATTCCAATAGTATTCCTGTATGGATTCGAAAGGATAGATCCCGCTGGGATTCCAATGCGATATCCTTCGTACTCGCCAAAATGGTTCTCATGGAATTGCAAGAAAACGGTCCCCATTTTTCGGGTGAGAACCCACACGCTTACCCACGGGGTTTCCATGTAGTGCTCCCAGTGCGTTTCACGCAGCATTCCAATAAGAAGGTGTCTCGATTGTAACCCAATGGGGCTTCAATCGGTTACCATTAGGAAAAGCCCCAACGGGCTTTAATAGGAAGCATCCCTATCGGATTCCAATAGGACGCTCGTAGGCCCCGTATCGAGGACCCTTGTTGGATACCAATTGGATTCATCTGGTGCCAAGATGATCCTAGTGGGAAGGCTGCCAATACATTAGATTCCTGTTTGATCCCGTTCGGAATCCGCCACTTCACACATTCTCGCGTTCAGACGGGTCACGTCACAACCAACACGCTTCAGAGAACGAAATGTCTCCCTGACGTGGGCCCACGGAGGTTTCGGAAATTGAAGAACATGTGTCACTTATGTGCGTTTATTCGCCTGGTTGTAAAGTGGCCTTCTTGGTTGTAAAATACCCGTCTGGGAAAACCCATGCTGGTTGGAAAGTGCCCCATCTGGAAATAAAATGGCCGTTCTGGTTGCAATATGACCCGCACGCTTCCTGGGAGGAACGACGAGGGGAAGCCGGGCGAAGGGCAGAGGTATGAGTACCTCTTCCTCCCCTGGCCAATAAAAACACGATCCTATGGAGGGGGTGTGCCGACATGGGCGAAGCGGGGATCTGTGGACGCGCTCACTCCCTGGCGCCACAAGTGAAGTGCTCCAGACGCGGCGTGGTGAGATCTGCACGCGGAAAACAGGGACGTGGAGGAGGAGGAGGAGGAGGAGGAGGAGGAGGAGGAGGAGGGGGTGGGGAGCGTTTTCTTAATCGGCGTTTCGACATGGGGCGAAAGCGGGAAGGGGGGGTCTGGCTCTAAACCGCTGCTTCATGCGACCGTTTGCAGCAGTTGGGGGGGTCTCCACCTGCTCGAAATATGCGCCGCAAACAGCCAAAGGAGGGGAAGGGGGGAGTGCAGGGGCCCGCGCCGATTGGCAAAACATCGGATACGAAAACGATCACGTGGAGAAAGGAGGAGACGCGGGGCGGTGCTGATTAAACCCGATGACGGCCCAACATCGCAGGATGGCCCTGGACAGTCCATCCCTGTGCAGTGAAATCTTGGACCACGCGCAGGGGACAGGCGGTCACTTCGCATGGTTATTTCAAAGGAATGGCGGGGGTGCCCGCATATTGTCTGGACGCATGCAACGTGACTGCGGGAGGACACTCCATACATGATGCTGACTGCCGAACTAACGCTTCGCAATGCTGTTTAGCATGATTGGTGGGGCCGACATGCTTCCAAATGTTTCCGGAGACGTGCGCTGTCGCACCTGGCACAATCTGCGCGCGCCGCGCACGTGGCACATCTGGCGCCTGTCTTGGTTCCAGTGGCTGTCAATCAAATGGCGGCCTCCGCATATGCCGAGACTCGGGTGCTACTCATGTGTTGGGAAGAGGGGTCGGAGTGAGCGAGACGGCGTGCGGCCGTCCTTCAGGGTAGC